TTACTCACAGCACACAGGAACCCTGAACCCGGCATGGAGTCCAGCCCCAGCAACAGTCTGGTGATGGAGATGATGTAGTCCTTGACGAAGGACTAAAGCAGACACACACACACACACACAAACACACACAAGCATCAATACTAAGCATCCCAGATCATTCGAGAACAATTAACAAAGGGAAAAAGGGCTCCTCAAAACACAAAGCATAACCATGCACAGGATACAGTGACCAGCATGCTTTGGGAGGGGTCGGGGTCAGGGGTCAGGGGTCAGGGTTACCTGGTACAGCAGGGTGTCCAGCATGCTGACGCTGAACACCTTTCCTGCAGCAAAGGGCAGACGAAACATGAAGACCAGGTTGGAGCCCTTCTCCCTCTCCTTCTGCAGAGAGGACAGGGGGAACCAAAAGACAGGGAGGAAAGGGTAAAGGGGGGGCAGCTTTCAGTGGCGCACCACTAACCTGCAATGAGTAGCAGAGCTTGGTGCTCCCGAAGAACTGATCCAGTCTCTCCCTTGGTATAGGACAGAGATGTCACTGAATTCATAATGCGTGAAAGTGAAGAAATTCGACACGGTGAAGCATCACATCTCTCCATTATGATATTCAGCGCTAGGCTACATCTGTCACGTCCTAAACTGAAGCAATTCAATACAAAGCCGTGTCCCGCCAACACGATTTAACACGGTACAGCTATTGCATTGATTAGGACCAGATATTCAGCTGCTACGTTCCTTCTGCCCTCCATTTAGAAGGTTCTGGTTTGCAGAGGAGGTTCCAGTGCTCTCTGTGTTTCTATGGTAACTATGGATGTTCTGTTTTGGACCACACCCCCTTTTAGAATGTTCTCAACGAGCCGGCGAATCAGAACACTCCGACGCTTGAATGATGGTAGGGGTCAGAACTTTCAGTGTGGAGCTGAAGGTAATAAATATGAGTGACTGTGTGATGCCTGTCTTAGCCTGTATTAACCTGGTCTGACACTGTTGCTCATTTAACTTGATGGACACTTTAGTTCTATTGTGCTGGAAATCGCTCTGGGTAAGATCATCTGCTAAATGAATGTAATGTAATGATGTATGGTGGTGTTTGTACTTGGCTTTCCTTAGTTTTGTCAACGGGGGGCTCAGGCAGGGACTCAGGCGCATACAGCGGAGAATGGCAAACGATGATTTAATGCCGAAAAGAGGGGAAATCCAGTAGACAGAGTCGAAAAACAGGCGATATCAAAAACCAGGTAGACACGGCAAAGGTACAAAGACAAAATCCAAAAACGAGGTTGAGAAAAACAGGCAAGATCAAAACGGGCAGGCAGAATACAAGCAAAACTGAGAAAAGCGCTGGTTGTGAAACAGATAAACTGAGACGAACTGGCAAAGGGCTAAGAAACAGACGGGAATATAAAGGGAACACGCCAACAAGAAAACGAGACACAGGTGAACAAGCGGGCAGGTGAAGCAGATGAGCAATCGGGCAGGGAAACAAGGGGCGGGGCAGGCAAGGGAGAGAAACGAACACAAAAGCACATGGCAGGGAAAACAAACAACCGGCTACGTAGCCGCAGCACTGACAAGTTTCTAGGCTGTCTAGTCAGGTTAGCACAAGTTAACTTGTGGTAGGGCTTGAATGGTGTTATGCTCACACTCACTGGTCTGGGAGTGTTGTTAGCCTGGTCTGACACTGTTGCCCATTCAACTCGAATGGATGCACTTTTGCACTTTTGTGATGGAAGTAGCTCTGGATAAGAGCGTCTGCTAAATGAATGTAATGCAAAATGTCTATCATAATAAATGTCTATCTCATATAAATACCACACCCCCCTTGCACACCTTCTCCAGTTTAGACAGGGTTAAGGAGGAGTCAGTTTCGGGTTAGGGTTGGGGTTATATAAATATCATGCCCCGCCCCCCCCTTCATTGCTTACCTTCTCCAGTTTGGACAGGGCCAGGGAGTAGTGGTCCTTCACCTTGAACTGCATGAAGCGCATGTTCGCAGGGTGGGTCAGCTCTGTGATAATGCTGAGAGCAGGAAACAGTCTGGGGGGGCATGGGGTGAAGGGGGGGGGTGGGAAAAAAGGGCTCAGTCACATGGTAATGATTACACCTTCCCTTCTCCCTCTCACCTCATTTAAACTGTACTCTGTTGGCTTGACACACATTTTGTACTTATTCCCAAAGCCTGGTGTATAATAAATTCAAAATTAATAAAATGACATAATAAATAATTAAAAGCTGTGAATCTGAGCCGATGAAAACATGTAAAGATCAAGCGATACCGTTCAAACCTGGCAGCTATGCTAATTAATTCCACTCACTTTATGTCTGTCTAACCCTGTATTTGCTGTTATTTTGGCGGTTACCCACTGTCCCTCAGGCTATGGTAAGCTGGAATGATCTCCACCATCAGTGGGGCTGTTGGTTCCTCCACTAGCAGGACTCGCAGTTTTTCACTGTTTGCAATGAAACTGAAAATTATTGATAATTTGCAAAAGTTTTTGTGAATAATTTACAGAATGTATGAGGAGGTGCATCTCTGTCTCTCCCTCTTATGCCTCACAGGGACCACATATACACAATCTTACTTTGGCAACAATGAGTTTTTTGTCTGCCTTTTGCAGTTGCTAGGGTGTAGGCATTAAGCATGTGCTCGGTCAGGATCTTAAAAATCAAACAATTTTGCAACAAGCGCACATAATAGTTTACCTGACATATGGGGGGGCACCTATTGGCGGTATGGGAGTCTGCACGCACATATTCATTTGGTGTTGGCCTCTCTTGGAAGAGCATCGCTCCATAAAAAGACACAGTGCTTTGCTGCTGACTCACCACAGCTTTTGCTGTTCAGTACCACGTCTTGAATGTTGATTTTTCTCTCTATACCATAAAATGTGCTGCAAGCACTCAGTTTCAATTCAATTCCATTCAATTCAAATTTACTGTACTGGCATGAATTACATTGTGTAAATGTAGCACACAAAGCACACAACATGAACGAACAGAAAGAAAGAGGAAAAAAGAAACAAAATTACACAAATAATTTCTACAAATATGAAATAAGCATTCTCTTTCATGTTCACTGGCTACCAAAATGAAAAGTTTCCCTTTAGACTCATAGAGTTCACTATCTGGAGTGTTCGGTGCAGCTGTTTTAGGAAAATGCTTATTTTTGTGCAGTGGCAGGGTCCCAAGCCTGGAGGAGGAGTAGAAGTGAGAGGGGAAAAGAGACAGAGAGAGGAGGAGAAGAGGATAGAGACAGAGAGAAAGGAGGACAGAGGGAGAGAGATTGGGGAAGAGAGACAGAGAGGAGATTCAGCCTGTCCATGTCCCCGAGTCTCCTCGCGCAGGGCAGGTCAGGTCACCGGACTCACCTGTAAAGCGTCTGAACGTTGACGATGGTCTTGGCGTCCGCCATGTAGTCCTCCTCGGCGATCATGGAGCTCTCCTTGTCCACGACCACCATGGTGTCCGCGAAGGTGACCCCACAGCGGAGCAGGCTGTCCAGGCTAGGACAGGAATCGGGTGGGGGGGAGTGAAAGAGACAGGAAAGAGGGTGAGTAAAGATGGGAGTGGGGGTGACACGGAGGGGAAGAACAAGAACAAGGAGAAAGAGAAGGCAGCATAGACAAAGGTGTGCGGATGGGGGGTGAGAAAGAGAGGGAGAGACAGAGAGAGACAGGGAGTATGAGAGAGAGAGAGAGAAAGAGACAGAGAGGGAGATCAAGAGAGACAGAATGAGAGCAAGAGAGAGAGGAAGAGATGGAGAAAGAGAGAGAGATGGGGAGTGAGAAAGACAGAGAGCAAGAGAGAGAGAGAGGAGAGAAAGGGGACCCAGGACAAAAACAGGAAAGAGGGTTCAGTACAAGAGGGCTAGAGAGAGAGAGAGAGGGGTTAAGAGTCATATCGGTTTCAAAGGCGCTTCACCGGCTCATCAAAACAATGCAGCGAAACCACTTCTGCCTCCGAACATGTTTTTAGCGGCTGTTTGAGCACCACACTCTCAACCTGAGGGTCACCCTTTCCAATTAACGCACAGAGCATTGCTCTCATCCCCTCAATGATGCACGCTTCAGAACACTGCCCTCGACAGAATGATAATTAGGAACCAGACCCAGGGGATCGGGGACGAGGAGGAACAGGAAGTGGTCACAGACAGTCTCTCTTACTTGTCGATGGAGCCCACAGTGTAGAAGACCATTGGGAACCAGCAGATGGCTTCAAGGAAGTAGACTTCGGGTCTGCAGAGAAGGAGAGAGAAAGAGGGAGAGAGAGAGAGAGAGAGGGAGGGAGGGAGGGAGACAGAGAGAACGAGAGAGAGAGAAGGAGACAGACAGAGAGAGGGAGAGAGAGGGAGACAGAGGAAGAGAGAGAGTGAGACAGAGAGGTGTTGAGTGTGAGAGGCCAGCGATGCCGTCAGACAGAAATAGCAGCACTCGAGCGGCTCTCGCTGAAGGGGATCTTGATTCCCGCTGCCTCTCGGAGCAGGCGGCGGCGTGGAGTGGCACCGCGTCCTCGAGCGAGGCACTCGACCCCAGCTGGTTACCGCAAGAGAGGGATAATGCGCAGAATTTCGAGAACCCGCATGCCGCCACCGCAGGCATCGGCTAAGCAAACAGCGCCGGGAAACCTAACGTAACGGTGAGGTTCTCAGCCGTCTGGCAGAGGGACTCTGGGTAAAGAGGCACCGAATGTGGTCTGACAGAAACCCCACCTTGCCTGCTTCTCGTTCCTGCCTGGAGTCTCACACATCCACATGCAAGCATTTCCCTGCCATCGGGTAGACCGCTTCTCTCTCCTCAGCAAGAGGTCTTCCTTTTATTTTACTAATTGTTTCTCTTCTTTTTAGACCTATGCCATTCCATTACCATACATTATTGTCATTCAGCAGACATTCTTATCCAGTGCAACCTTCACAGGTTACAATTTTACACGTTATCTATTTATACAGCTGGATATTTACTGAGGCAATTGTGGGGTAAGCACCTTGCCCAAGGGTACAGCAGCGGTGCCCCAGCGGGGAATCGAACCAGCGACCTGGCGGTTACAAGCCCTGCTCCTTACCACCCCGCTACACGGCCTCCCCCGTCCCATAGAGCAGGGCAAACGGACTGCAGCTCTCGTTCGATCACCGCAGAGGCACGCTGGCCGACCCTGTCACAGCACAGCGCTGTACCTCTCCCTCGCACGGGACACGCCGCGGCTGAAACGAATAATGATTAACTGACACCGAGCTGGGCGAGACAACCAGGAGGCGCTCACGCCATGGGCCGATAAAAGCCGGTAAGTGGAGAGACCTCGGGTGACTCCCGGTGCGGGGTTAAAGGTGCCGCAGTGTTTTGCTCTTACAGAACAGGGCAAACAGTACCACACCCCAAATCTGATTCATTGTTGTTTTTTCCGTCTTAACACACGGGTTACGTCCTGCTTCTCCCAGGAGTTCTACAAAAGCATTTTCAATATTTAATTTTTCCTTTTGAGAACACGGTTTGCGTCCACCGCAGGTGGGGGGGGGGCACACAGGGGCCTCACCCTGAGGTCATGAGATTAGTTTTAACCCTTTTGCATGTAACTTATTTTATGCTACGTAGCACGCGTGTTACGTTACATGGTTCGTTATGTTTACATTAGCGTTATTAAGCTTCTCATAGTTTTCACCGCCGCATTTGCTACATTTTTTAACGTTAAATCGCTGTTTCCTCAAAGCTAACATTAGCTACACTTTTTCCAATCTAGTTTTCTAATCGCACCATTTTTACCGTACGCGCTAAACAGCTCCTTAGGCGCGACAGGGTTAACGAGGCCGAGCCCCCCCGGCGGTCGCCCCGGGCAACTCACGGGTTCTCCAGCAGCAGCACGATGGGGTTGAGCTCCTTCTTGGGGCGGTAGTAGGCCCGCAGCGGGACGATGAAGTTGTAGAGGCCGTTCCCCGCGCTCTCCGCCGACACGATGATCAGCTTGTTCCTGAAGCCGTACGAGCGGGCGTCCTCACAGGGGACGTGGTGGCAAGCCTGGGGGTGTTGCGGAGGAGAGAAGGGACAGAGGGTGTGTAAAACGGAGAGAAAGAGGAGAGGAAGAGCCTGTCATTCTGAGGAGAGAGGGAGGAGATGAGACGGAGGAGAGGAGGTGGAGGAGAATGGGAAGAGAGAGCAGAGGGAGGAGGAGAGGGAGGGAGGAGAGAGAGGAGAGAGGGAGGGGAGGAGAATGGGAAGAAGAGAGAGGAGAGGAGCGGACGGCGGGCAGGGTGGCGGTCTCTCACCTTGTCCAGGCGCAGACAGCAGAAAGGTACCTTCTCCTGCAGCAGGTGGCAGAGGGTGGGCGAGCTGCCGATGTAGGGAGAGTTCAGGGGGTACCCCTTCACCCACCTGCCACACAGACGCAGCGGGAGACCATCACACCCGGGCACCAACCAACACACCAACGCACACATACACACAGACTCTAACACAGCTGAGCACATACTCACATACACACAGATCCTAACACACCTGAGCACAAACTCACCTGCACAGACCCTAACACACCTGAGCACATACTCACCTGCACAGATCCTAACACACCTGAGCACATACTCACCTGCACAGATCCTAACACACCTGAGCACATACTCACTTGCACAGACCCTAACACACCTGAGCACATACTCACCTGCACAGATCCTAACATACCTGAACACATACTCACATGCACAGGCGGTAACACACCTGGACACATTTTACACATATGCATATACCCTAGCACACCTGAACACTTACTCACCTACACAGACACGAACACGCCTGGATACCACCAGAGCTACACACCTGTTCACACACCCATCAGAACATACACTAAAACACCTGCTCAGACATTCTCACACCTGTAATGACACTAGCACACCTGTACACATATTAACACATCTGCACAGACACTCTCACACTGGTATACATGTTAACACACCTGCAGGGATACTAACACACCTGTATACATATTAACACACCTGCAGGGACACTCTCACACCTGTGTACACACTAACACACCTGCAGGGACACTCTCAGACCTGTGTACACACTAACACACCTGCAGGGACACTCTCACCCCTGTGTACACACTAACACACCTGCAGGGACACTCTCACACCTGTGTACACACTAACACACCTGCAGGGACACTCTCGCATCCCCAGTACTCACTCGGTGTGGCCCCCCCAGTGCTGGCCCTCAGCTCCGCCCCCCTGGCCCCCCTCCTCGCTCCCGTCACCGCCCTCGTCCTCCGATTGGTCGCTCAGCAGGTCGAAGGCGGGCGAGCTGACCCCGTCCACCAGCTCCAGGACGGGGGCGATGCTGTGTCTCCTCTCCTCCGCCGAATCGGCCGTCGCCGTGGCCGGGAGCGCCAGGGTGCTAGCCCCGCCCGCGTCGGACACGCCCCCGCCACGCCCACCCCCCCGCGCCGACCCCCCCGCCGTCCCGCCCTCCGCGCTGTCCGGGCTGCTCCCGCTCGAGTCCTGCAGGTCCATGGCGACCGTACCTGCGGGGGGGGGGGAGGTTTGGGGGGGGGGTAATTAACCCACAGTAATTAATACACAGGTGCAGGTACCCAGCACTGCATTCATTACAGATCTGTGCTCGTTTCTGACTGGCAGCGGGGTGGTAAGGAGCAGGGCTCGTAACCGCAAGGTCACTGGTTCGATTCTCCGCTGGGGCACTGCTGCTGTACCCTTAGTAGAAATGGATAACATGTAAAACTGTGACCTATGTAAGTTGCACTGAATAAGAGCCTCTGCTAAATGACAATAATGAAATGTAATGGAAGGGCATAGGACAATTAGCAAAGCAAGAAGAAGCTGTTTAAATGGGTAATGTAAAACAGTAACCTGTGTAAGTTGCTCTGGATAAGAGTGTCTTCTAAATGCCAATCATGTAATGTAGCAACTAAAGAGGAAAAGATTCAGTGTTTCAGCATACAGTTCCTCATTGGCGAAACCACCGCTCTTCTCTGGGAGCTATTTTGTTCTGAACCCTACAGTGTCACCATAAACCGATAAGAGATTTAGAGATTTGGATTTGGTGCCTCTATTGCCAATAGGGCAAGAAGTAAGCCCTTAATTTGTCCCTGTAAATAAGAAATATACATTTCTAATAGATGTGGACTGCACTCTTATTTCTTATTGATTGGTAAAATTGATTATATATTTATAAAGAGCAGGGAGAATTAAGCTCCAGCTCCACTACACAATTCATCCATCTTCAGTGTGCATTAATGCAGGCATAAAACATACAGATGCATATTATTAAATATAAAAATGCTTTAGCTGGTGAAATCATGCAACGTGATCTAAATGTAACAGCAGACATGTATTAGATAATATTCTATGTTCATTTCTCTTCAGTTTGATCTGGCTGCAACATGAAACTTGTTATACACTATATAGGTAAATAACAACACGCAAAGTGACAAAGTTGGAACAGGAAGCGTTTCAAAGCAAATTGATTTGAGACCACTTCCAGAACGCAACCAGCAGGTGGCGCTAAATGCGGCTTTAAAACGGAACCGATCATTCTAACCAGTTTACAATGTCAGAGTCAATTTTCGTTTCAAAAGCATTTAAATTCTGTCACTTTGAGTTTGTGCTCGGTGTCATGCTTCATTACCGAGGAGGCGGAGACGAAGAGCTGAATTTCAATCGGATTTGCGATCTGGACTCGCTGATCTAGGGTCAGTCTGCCTCTCTGTCAGATCTGCACATGCTCTCGATGAGAATCGGCTTAATCTGAACAGCAGTTCCAGTGGCTGCCACTGGGTGGAACACTCGCTGCAAAGCAAAAAATTCCCAAAACTTGTGCACGCACAACTTACGCCCAAGTCGTTTACACACGGACAGAACTGAGAAACATCCATTTAATTCGATTTGTTGATTTACTTATTTAATATTTCTGTGTCTTTCTTTCACTCTTTCCTTTCCTCTGCTCTCCCGTCTGTTTTCCAGTGAAATGGCACGTTCAGTTATTTACCAATAATTTGATTTCATCGCTGCTCCCTCTCGCTGTTCTCTCTCACTATGACACCAGCCTTGGGGGCAGGCCCAGCTCTATGGGGGTGCTTAGGGGTGCACTGCACCCTCAGACAGACCTCAGTGCACCCCAGTTGTCTCATATCCTGGTGTCTACATAGTATTTATTATGTTTTTTTAGATATGATTTTTTCAGGCTGACACAGCTCAGTCAACAGCGACCTGATCCATGCTGGCAAGGACACTGTCTGGCACACTGACTGAAGCACTGGGTGTGTTACAGTGAGACTGACACAGTAGGTGCGTTGAAACAGAGCACTGACCCATGCTGGCGATCATGTTGTGGACAGAAAGTAGTATCTCTGTGTAACTGTGACGCACTAAAATTCTGTCACACGGGGTCTGTCAGTCAGACGCAGTAACTGTGTCAAACGGTGACAGTGACCCATGACCTTGTGATGTTGTGGTGCGAAGTTGGGTCATTGTGTAATTGTGTAACATTGTGTGTTAACTGAGACTGCGTTAATCTGACACACTGACTGTGATAATGGAAGACACACTGACCCATGCTGGTAATAATGCTGTGAACAGGCAGGTCGGTCTCTGTGTAATTCTAACTCTGACACAGTGAGTGTGTCACTCTGACGCAGTGAGCGTGTCACTCTGACGCAGTGAGCGTGTTAGCGGGAGATGCACTGACCCATGCTGGCGATGATGCTGTGGACGGGCAGGCGGGTCAGGCCGTGGTAGATGGTTTGGGGCATGCCCCCCGCGGCCCCTCTGCCCGGGCCCCGCAGCGACCCCTGCTGGCCCCTGACGAAGGCGGAGTTCTCCTCCTTGGAGATGTTGATGTAGAAGCAGGTGTCGGAGGCGCCCATGATGTGGCAGGGACCCGGGTTCAGCAGGATGTTGGCCGTGTCCAGCCTGCGCACCCCGATCAGACACACGCCGTACCTGCAGCCCACAGAGCTGGCTTACTGAACGCTGCTGAGTGTTACAGCACTTTCCAGTGTGTTACACTATACTGATGACCGTTACACTGCTTCACTGTCTGTTCTACTGTACTGCTGAGTGTTACAGGGCTTTACTGTA